ATGGAAGGGTAACTGATGTGATACAGCAATTTGTATACGGGGTAAAAGCGGGAGTTCATAATCCACTTGAATCAAACCGTGTAATATGATGTATTAAGAACTATGTAATGTTATGAACGACCAATAAAAAAAAAAGTTTACAACTTGATTTTTTCAAAAAAAAAGTCAACAAACTGCAAGCACCTATCAATAAAGGTCTTAAATAAAAAAAAAAAAAAACAAACCTTTTTGTGGCTCAAAGGACAATATCAAGAGTGAAAAGACAACTCACAAGATGGGAGAAAATTTTTTTTTCTTTTTTTTTTAGGTTCAAACAGCAACTACTTTATTTCAAACTCTTACAGGCACTGCACGCATGCTTTTCCGCCAACGCCACCCACGTCGGAGAAAATATTTTAAGTATAAAAATCTGATAAGGATTTAATATCTAGAATATATAAAGCACTCCTACAACCCAATTCTAATGTAAATTCTGATAGATGAACACTGAAAACATGCTTAAGTGAAGTATGCCAGATACAAAAAGAAAAATATTTTACAACTCCATTTACCTAGAATGGACAATACCTTGTTCTTAGAGACAAAGTAGAAAAGAAGTTATCAGGGGCTGTAAGTGAGAAAAAGGGATGTCAGTGTTTCATGGGTATGGAGTTTCTGTTTGGGATAATGAAAGTTTTCTGGAAATGGATGGTGGTGAAGGCTGAATAAAATTAAGTACTTAGTGGCACTGCACTGAATATTTAAAATGGTTAAAATTGTAAATTTATGTTAAGTATACTTTACCATAATTTTTTAAAAGGCATTTAAAAATGAAAGGAAGGGAAGGGGAAAGAAAGGGAAAAAATGCATATCTTAACTTAGTTTAGATAAACAGCTTTCACAAATCATCCAGGAAGCCAGAAAGTGTGGTGCAGTATTGGAGATGATAGATTCTGAGGTTATATAGCTAGGTTTAATCCTGGCTCTATTCTTTCACAGATATGTAACCTCAGGTAATCCAAATGGAGACGGTAGCATCTTTCTCATGGAATTTTTGAGATAATCAGTGAGTGAGTTAATTTCCATAAAACTCTTAAGGTCCTTAACATGAGTTAATTCTTATAAAGCACTGAGAGGTAAATAAGGATGACCTAATACTGTAGCTATCCAAACAAATACATTAGTCACATATCCAGAACTTAATCCTATTTTGGTGTTTAATCTATGTTGATGTTTAAATCAGAAAATTACCTAGTAATAATTTTCAGATGCATATGGTTAGAAGGTTTATCATTTTAATGATCTGCTAGCTTTATGTGCTTTCTTAGTCTCCAGATTTCAGAAGGAAACATGAAATACTTACGTATTAGGTTTGATTCATTGTCTTTTCCCTCCATCTTCCACTAACTCACAGGATTAAGAGTTCTTTCAATTTACTATGGACTTCTTGTTTAAAGAATATAGAAATATATAATAAATTGACAATGGTTTGTTTGCTCTAATATTTATACTGCACATGGACACTCATTCCTGTTACATATTTCTACTTAATTTTTAAGAAAACTCATACATTATTTACTTACCAACTGAAGGTAGAAATCAGTAGGACTATTTATATGACAAACCATAACTGAAACATCTGTCATTTCTTTAGGCAAAATAGGTGGATGATAGCGTAAAGCCATATTTTCTTCAGTGTGACTTCTTGGTGATTGTGACCTAAATCTAATTAAAAACATAAAGAAGCATTTTCTTAAAATCTCTTTTTTCCTCAATGACCTGATCTGAAAAAAAGGGCTTCTACATATAGCAATTTATTTACCCAAAGTATTCCATTTCCAATTTCTCTCTTCTGACTTATTATAATTCTTGATATTGTCTCTAATTACTGAACAAGGTTAAATAAGAACTTAGAGGTTTAACCTTCAAATTCAGGTCAGACATTTCAGAGCTAGGATAGCATGCTGTAGTCACATTTAATGCTGTTTCTACAATTGCTTTGATAGCTGTGGTCTGTGGAAGTGCTTAGTGAGGCCAGCTAAGGGGTCTCTGTGGTCCTTGACAATCTCAGCCCTTTACTTTGGTTTTTCTACAATGGAATCCACTTGGGTCATTTCTAGAAGTCATTTATTTAATCACCCAACACAGAAAGTCAGAATATCTACTATCTCTATGGTTATTAAATCATCTTACTCTTTGCTCATCAGAGATAAAGAAAAATTAAGTATCTAATCTAGATTCAGAAATTAAATCAGTATTAGTGATCGTGAACTCATTCCAAAAGCTAGAAAATTTAAGTTAGGAAAAGTTAAAACAATAATTCTTGAAATACTTGAAGGCCTGCTTGCAAAGTTATCAAGAGTTTAAAAAAAAACGTTGGTATATACATATTTTTCTATTTTGAGCTACCTTAATTTTCTTTTTTCTTCAAACCAAATTAATTAAATGCAGTTTTCAGATAACCACTATACTTAAAAAAATGCTTTTAGCAATATTTTTAACCTCTAAAAGTATGTTAAGGTTCACATTAGAGCCCATGTTTTTAAAGGTAAAACTGCTATTTCTATATACAGCTATAATCATGAAAAATATTTAAGTTTTAACAATCTACTTACCGTGCTAGTTCCATAAAAACTAATGCATCTCTGAGAGACACAGGCATATCACTGCTTATTTTATTTGTTGGTGGTTTCTGCAGATCTACAATAAGCACACCATTTTCTTCTCTAAAAACTTTCATTAAAACAGCCTTGTTATTCACCATTTTCAAAAATTCCAGTTTAGCTTCCTCTTCCCAGCCTTCACTCTATGAAAAAAAAGTAAAATTCCAAAGTGATTATAAATTAGCTCTAATGTTATGTCTGGATTAACTTTGTACCAATCAGAGTCTGCAACTCTGAGGAAAAGCAATGAACCAACCATACACATGAAAAAACAACTGAGGTATGTAAAATGTGTGCATTGTGATTTTACGAATGTATTCTTATGGTGTTTGTAAGCAGTTTCACTGGAGAATATGTTTAGCTTTTGGATATTAATATGAAAATATTATAATGATTTTAAAATAAAATAAATACTGCTTGTGAATTTTCTACTAAAGTGATGAAAATTTCAAAAATAATTTTGATATATAATGTATCAGCAACATATGAGGTATATGCTATTTAAATGATAAGGGAAATATTCACCCATTCTAAAAAAGTTTTAAGTTGATATTAAACATTTAATTATCCATACCTAATATAAATTTCCAAGGATCAAAACCAAAAATTTCTTAAAAACAAAACCCAGGAAATGTAAAAGGCATAAAAGAAAATTAATAATGTCATTATCTTGAGGAAACCACCAATGCTAATATTTCTGTGTTTCCTTTTCTTATTCATTTATTTATTATTTTAAATATTTGTTGAAGGTCTACTCTGTGGCAGATCTGCTAAGTGCTGAAAACATAATAATGAGCAAAGACACAGACTCCTGCTTTCACAGACCTTACAGCATAGAACTGCTCAACATATATGGTTAAACACAATTCTAGTCTCCTAGGAGTTTTCAATCTTTCTAGGGGAACAGATATTCATAAGTAATTCAAAGCAGAATACAATATGAGCTGCAAGTAATGAACAAAGTGCTGTGGAAATAGGAAATAATGTATAAAAATACACACCATACTATATTTTACACATATTTATCTCTGTATAATTGACTCCAAAATATAGTGCTACTTGGATATTTCATCTATCACTTATTCACTCATATACACTTATTCAATTAAATTCTCATAAAGAATATTATTTGCCAGCCATGGTGGTATACACCTGAAATCCCAGTAGCTCAGCAGGCTGAAGCACGAAGATTACAAGTTTGAAGCCCATCTCAGCAATTTAGTGAGGCCTTAATCAATTTAGCAAGACCCTGTCTCAAAATAAACAATAAAAAGGGGGCTGGGACTGTAGCTCAGTAGCAGAACACTTGTCTAGCACACATGAGGTTTAGGGTTTGATCCTTAGCACCACATAAAAGTAAAAATAAATAAAATGAAGACATACTGCCACATGCCTGTAATCCCAGCAGCTCTTGAGGCTGAAACAGGAGAATGGAGAGTTCAAAGCCAGCCTCAGCAATGGCAAGGCACTGAGCAATTCAGTGAGACCCTGTTTCTAAATAAAATACAAAATAGGGCTGGGGATGTAGCTAAGTGGTTGACAGCCACTGAGTTTAATCCCCAGTACCAAAAAAAAAAAAAGAAAAAAAAAAAAGAAAAGTATGCTGTCCATCTACAACTGCAAAAAAATTTAAAGGGCTGAGGATGTGGCTCAGCAGATAAATACCCCTGGGTTCAATTCCTAGTACAAAAATATATATACATGTGTGGATATATATGTGTGTATGTATGTGTGTGTGTATGCGTGTGTGCCTAGAGCATGCTACACAAGTGTTCTACCACTGAGCTACATCCTCACCCAAGAACACTTCCAATTATGAAAGCTGAAGTTCATTTTCTGTTTCATTGGCACTGCACTATAGCTTATTATGCAAAATAATATCAAGATAACCGATTCCTCAAGCCCATCCTCAGCAATATCATTGGTAATACATAACTAAAACAAACATTTAGCCTCTGAAGAAGAAATAATTTAAGTCTCACTTACTGAATTATGTGGAACAATGTCTTTTAAGGAGCATGGGTATGCTAATGGTGGGATATCTTTCACCAGCCCTTCAATATATGGTTCAGACTTCCTCAGAACCGGACATAAATCATTTAGTACAACATGCTGCTCAGCAATGTGTTCTGGTCTTATGTGGGTATCACCAACTCTAGAAGGAATTCAAGTAATATTCACTGAAAGTATGCTTTAATCTTGCACTTGCTTTCTCCCTTTTTAAGGTATGCATTTCTAAGAATAATTTCCTTCAGGTAAATCTCATAGAAAGTTATATTCCAAATTTGTGCTTTCTTACTATACAGAATTAATTTAGCTTCTATAAGCACAGAGACTATTTTTATATACAGAATTAAATCCCAGTTACTTTTATTTGAACTTTCAGATATTCATTCAGTTTAAAAAGGAAAATGACCCTGTATTCCCACATATAGATCTATTCATTTTTAAAGCTATGACCATTTAAAAAAGTAAAAATATTATAGTTCATGCTGGTCCTTAACACAGAACCATTTCATTTTCTTTTCCTAGAAGATCTAGAAAACATTTTTGAACATCTAATGTGAGTACATTAGACAGTATGGTTTTTTAACATCATTTAATCAGATTACAGAAATATGATTAAAATTTTACTCAACCATCCTGTGGCAAACCATAACACTTTAAAGGTTAAGCTCTGAGCATTATTTTCTGCTGTGAAGTAACATTAGAAAAGTACTTAAATTTGGAGTACATCACATGAGTAAACATATCATAGTGAATTCCACTTTTATGTATATTATAAAGCATCACTTAAAAAATAAATAAAGCACTGGGGTTGTAGCTCAGTGGTAGAGCCACTTGTCTCGAATGCATGAGGCACTGGGTTCGACCCTCAGCACCACATAAAAATAAGTAAATAAAGTTACTGTGTCCATCTACAACTAAAGAAATATTTAAAAAATAAATAAATAGAAGGAAGACCAGTAGAGTCAGGAAGGGGAATGAGGATAGGAGGAGGGAAGGGAAGAGGAAGCACTGAGGACTGAAACGGAACAAATTAAATTCTATGCATGTATGATTATGTCAAAATGAACCCCACTATTACAACTGTAATGAATGCAATAATAAAAGCATTTAAAAATTGTAACACACAAACTTGGGAGTACATCAAAAAGTTCTTTTCCCAAGCTCCTCATCTAGTAATGTTGATAAAACAATACAATTTTATTCATTTAGTAACAAATTTAATAAGCAAAATATTAAGAATATGATTTGGAAGAGAAGAATGATAAATTACTTCTCTTTACCCTTTTCTAATCTCCTTCATTCTTTAATCTGCACCCAACAAATATGCCTAAACAGGCAAGAAACACATAATAATCACAAAATATCTTACCCTGTGACGATTAGGACTTCAGAATTTCCAAAATCTACCATGAATATTTGTATTAATGCAACTTCACGAACTGAGAATTTGGTTGGACTACAGGGTTTTCTAATATTTTTACTTTCTATCGGAATTAATTCAGTGATAGTTCCTCGACACCACATTCCATTTTCAATACTGTTGACAAATATTCTTGCACCTAAGTAATGTAGGAGACAAATTATTACCAGTGTTAAGACAGATATCTCAAAGAGCTCTAATTTAGAAATATAGCTTAGTTCTACAACTAAGAAGTCTTAACTCATTTATTTACTGATGGTATAGTATTGTGTCAAATGCTATGAGAAGAATATAAAATAGTTTATTATGTAACTTACAAGCTAAATGAGCAGAATACCAAGTCAGTAGTCAACAGATGAGGAACTGTTTCATGAACTACATTAATATAAATAAATGAAACTGTCTTGCATGTACACATATGTACACCTATAGATATATACATAGTAATAAGGAAAAAACAATTATCTTTTCTTAGTATAGGATAGTGAAAGGAAACAATGAAAAGGCAACATATAAAATGCCCAAATTAATTAATACCCAATGTCATTTAGAGAAGGAGAGGATGAACTAAGGATGGGTCACAAATTAATAATCTGAAAAAACAGAAGATGGAGAAGGAAAAAGGCCTGAATATGAATGCTTAGTATGGGTTGACAATGTTCTCATTCTTTTATGTTTGAATCTACTCATTCCCCACAATAACCCTCTGAAGGCAGTACTTCCACCACAGTGTGGTTTGGGGGCTCAAAAATATCTTCAACTTGGACAAGCTGAGCTAAGAAACAGAATCAAGGTGTCTTAGGCAGGTGCAGTGGTGCACCAATATAATCCCAGCTACTCCAAAGGCTGGGGATGTAGCTCAGTGGTAAGGCACCCCTAATACCTAAAAATCCATAATACCTAAAAAATAAAAATAAATCAAGGTCTCTAACTTTCCCTTATTTTTCCCTCAAGTGCTGGAAGGGACTCTCTCTCTAAAATTCCCTTATCTGATTTGAGAAAATTTCTCTTTGTAATCTTATCAGATAATCTGGAAAGATTAATCAGCAGAAAAGAGAGGAGATTAAGTCATCACCTTGCCCAGCCAGGCTTTTCATTATTGTTTGGAGGACAGGTCCCAAAGATTAACTGGGAAACTTTGCATAATAAAACATCCTTTGTTGCAACTGCTCCTCATTTGGTCCTTTCATTGAGCTTCATGTTTTGCACAGCTACCTTGTACATATGCATATTAATAAATTTGTTATGCTTTTCTCTAGTAAACCTGTCTTTGGTTCTTTTGTTTTTTGAGGTATTGAGAATTAAACCCAGGGTGCTCTACCACTGAGTTAGTCCTTTATATTTTAAGAAAAGGTCTCAGAAGTTGCCCAAACTAGCCTTCAGCCTCAGCCTCCCAAGTTGCTGGAATTACAGGCATGTATCACCATGCCCAGCTAATCTGTCTTTCATCTTATGGGTATTGGCCATCATCATTTATGATAGACAGGAAAGGAACTGCCCCCTTTTCTACCTATCCAGAGGCAGAGTGGTTGCTATCCAAACACAGCAACCACTTGGTTATTTATACAAGGTAGCAAACAGAAACCTGGTAGTCCTGAATCCCAGTCTCTTAACAACTAAGCTACAAATTGATAAGCCTTGGTCATTCATTATATACAGAAGAATGCTGTATTCCTCTCTATGTATGTTATAAAAACAGGATGGCTGAAAGGCACATTGGGGTATCCATGTAATTTTATTTAAGTTTTCCTAAAACATTTGTTTGGCCTTCAGATTGTCAGTGATCCTTCTCTTATTTTGATGCAATCAATAATCTTTTAGTTTGAAAATATATTTTATACTATTTTATACTATTCTTTTAGTTTCAAAATATATTTTATGAAACTATTTTTGCAACAGATAAAACGTCAAGAAAATGTTTGCCATTCTTCATAAGGTTCACATGTAGACCAAAAGATATTCTTACTTGCTAAAGCCCCACCACATTTATTTCCTTTTCACTAATTTCTCTAAGCATAAACAGGACTCAAGTCAACTATATATATTTTGCAAATAATTATCGTTAATACCTTAAAGATGAAGGTTTTGGTTTTCTTAGAATATTTTTTGAATCTAAACTGCATTCTTTTGGACATGTATGAAATTTTAGAGAACTATATATAATTATGAAAGCTAAGCTTAATACTATATTTCCTTTCTCTTAGATACCAAAAATGAAGGGATTTTTAAGTTTTAAAAGTATTCATTTTTGTCAGAGAAGTATATGATGATACTATACTTCTGATATTCTGAAAAGGTATAGAAACAAGCTGAGAAGTAGTGACCATTTAAAAGAACCATTATAAAGCTACACAGATAATACTTTTTTTTGATATTGGTCACCTATAGGCATTGAAAAAAATGGTCCAGTAATATATCAAAGAAATCAGAAGAGTATAATAAACAAATTCAATCATCAATGTTACTAGGAAAATACTTGTAAGGGAAGCCTAAAGCATGGCAAATTCAACTATGCTTAGAATTAAATAAACTGTGTTTACTAATTACCCTCTGAAGGGCCCTAGGAATGGATGCCACACAGGCCTCTTGAATCCTACTTAAGTGTTCAATGTTAACTCCAACATGCATGCATACAAAGCAAGGAACTAAAACAACAAAGAATCAACTTAAACTAAAAGGGCAACCTACATAACCTGTTGTGGGTCTTGTTAATTAAAAAGCAATTCATTCAATTACACAATAGAGGTTTTATATATATCTCACTCTACAAATGTGCCAACATCTGCAATTTAAATCTTTGACTAACTTACCTAAATAATTTATGTTAAGTAATTCCCAAACTTTTATGCTTAACTTGAAGCTCAAATCTTTTATAGCAGGTCAGTGTGGGTTGAGCAAATATGACAATATTTACATAAACTTAATATTTTAACTTATAGTGATATTTGATTACCTAGCTCCAAAATGTCTGAAGGATCAAGATGTAAATTCTTATTGCAAATTTGATTCACCTTCTTCTCCAATACTGTTGCATCTTTTATTTGTGAATATTTTCGAATATAGAAGTGGCAAGGATGTATTACATGGCTTACAAAAACTAGCTCTGGACAACCTGAATACAAATCAATATTTAAAAAACATTATTAAAACATGAAGCTGGAAGAGAATTCATAAAATGTGAACAACTGCCATGTCCGCTAAAGGACGATGTGTTTACAGGCACTGAAAATCTAGAATACTTGGGCCCCATTAGAGAGTCTAAATCTAAAATGCCTCACAGAACAAATGGATCACTTTCAACAATGAATTCTTTAGCAACCTGAACTGCAAATACTTTATTCAACTTGCAAAATATGTGCTTTAAGTGAAATCATAGTTCATATGGTAGGCTGATTCTAAAATCATAGCCTGTTCTGTAAATTCACTTTATTATAAAACTTCATAGTTTAATTATGAACCTACTTGAAACTTAGAACCTTATTAATAGTGATTAGATTACTCGGCTAGCCTACAAAAGCCAGATCAATCCATACCATACCTAAAACACCAATACAGCTCACAGCACCCTGAATCCTAAATCATATGAAATAGGTTAGAGAGAGATGTAATAATGTCTGGTCAAAGTACTGAGTAGCATTTAGGGAACTATAGGAGAGCTTTGGTAAAGGTTAAACAGATTAAGGTAATGACACTGAACACATTTTTCTATAAATAGAAACAATTAAATCAAGTGTTTCTACTGATACAAAAAGATCTCTGAAGGAGCTGGGTGTGGTTGCACATTCCTATAATCCCAGCTATTTGGAAGAGTATAAGGGAGGAGGATTGAAAGTTAGAAGCCAGCCCAGGCAATTTAGCAAGACTGTCTCAAAATAAAAAAGAATGGAGATATTTCTCAGTAATAAAAAATTTGTCTAGCATGTGTTAAGGCCTTGGGTTCACTCACCAGTATTGGAAAAAAGAGAAGAAAAGCAAGAAAAAAAATCTCTAAAGTGTAATGTTAAGGGAGCAATACCCAAAACAGTATGTATAGTATGCTATGTCTCGTGTGAACTACTTTTGTATGCATTAAAAAACGACAGAAAGAAAAGAGGAACTGAATAAAATAGGAATAGGGTATGGCAAAGTGTCACAAAAATAGTTTTATTTATAAGGATTATTTTTTTGGAATGAATTAATGTATGATTTTTTAAAACAGACTAGAAGGCATGGAATTGAAGAGAGGTAACTTCATTTTAATCCTTGGCTAACTTACCTAAATAATTTATGTTAAGTAATTCCTAAACTTTTATTATGCTTAACTTGAAGCATATATATAACAGAAATTAAAAAATATATAAATTTTAACTTTGTAACATAGCTTACCAAGAACAATACACATATTAAGGATAGGATAAAAGAGATAAATATATATATGTATAACTGGGGTGACAGCTGTAAAATAAGAGTTACCACATATAGAGCAAACTACTCCATTAAGCTCAGACTTGTTACAATACCTGTTTTTGATCCAAAAGAAACAGTTGACTCTTTCTGAAGAGGTTTTTTGGGATATCTAGGAGTCTCCGTAAGATCATCTGTGAAGCAAGCTTTATCAAAATAGGTAAAGACAATTGTACTAATTTTGATAACAGTGACCTGCTAGTGTTTAAAAAGCTGTAATTAAATTGGCTAAATACTTGAATCCCTTGTAAAAGTAAATAAAACCATGATATGCTTTTAGAATTCACTGATAATTCAGTGATAATAATACAGCAGAAAGAAGAATGTGTGCACTGTTTTTTTTGATATTTATTTTTTCCTAGTTGTAGGTGGACATAATACCTTTATTTTATATTTATGTGGTACTGAGGATTGAACCCAGGGCCTCACACATGCCAGGCAAGTGCTCTACCCCTGAGCCACAACCCCAGGCCGTACTATTGAGGTTTAAAAAAAAAAAATTTTTTTTTTAGTTGTATATGGACACTTTTTATTTATTTTCTTACATGTGGTTCTGAGGATCAAACCCAGTGCCTCACACACATGAGGCAAGTGCTCTACCAATGAGATAAAGCCCCAGCCCCTTGTTTTATTTATTTATTTAAAAAATTTTTGCATTGAAAATGTCATTCTGGAGAGTCACCCAATAAAACCAATGTTTTAAAAAATGTTTTACATAGAAGTACATGAGTAGCATTTTGCTTCCATGTTAATGGGCGAATACCAACACTGAAATCTAATCAAACAACTGTGATAGATTTAAGTTATAAAATAGTTGACATAAGCTGCGTATCTAGCTCAGTAGTAGGGTGGTTGGTTGCCTAGCATTTGAGAGGCTCTGGGTTTGATCCCTAGCATAAATTAATAAATAAATAATAGAATAAAATATAAAATAGATGGCATGACACTCATCATAGCTCATCCTAAACAGATTAGATTCCAAGATTTGAGAGGAGCTGATCATAATTCAAGGACAAAGTAATGAAACTATGCCCCCAATTTACCCCTCTTATTCATTTATATTTGTATCATTCATATAAAGTTTATATGTGGAACACTGAAAAGGTCAAATATCCTAACCTGATCAAATATTAAATTTGCATCCCAGAGATTAGCTATATTATTTTATTAAAAATAAAAATTACCCTAACTTTGGAAAATATGGAATCAATAGGTTTAACTCATAATGAGCATATGAGGAAAAAGATTATGGTGGCCGGGCGTAGTGGCATGCACCTGCAATCTAGCTACAGAAGAAGCTTAGGCAAGAGGTTCACAAGTTTGAGAATATCCTAGGCAACTTACCAAAACCCATCTCAAAATCAAACAAAAAGGGCTGGAGGTGTAACTCAATGGTAGAGCACTTGCCGGGCATGTGCAAAAGCACTGGGTCCATTCCCCAGTTACCCCCCACCCCCATATACACAAATACCTTTCCTGCTAAGCATATTTAATTGTTTCTAATTTTAGAGAAAAGATCCCTTCCTCCCTCCCCCCAGGTTTGTTATATTCTCAACTCACGTTCTGGGTTTTCTTCAATAATTTCTTCAATTATCACATCAGGACTAGATCCCATTTGAGGGAGCACAGCAATGGTTTTAGAGGATGTGACTGCAATGACCTCTTTCTGTGGCTGGACAATCTCTTCTGAATGGACACCACTGGTCTCCAGTTGTAAAGGAGGTGCTGGCACTTCACTGGTTAGGACAGACACATCAATCTTTTTGTTTTCTAGTGATGAGTATGTAACATAAGAAAGTTCCTTTTTACTATTATATTTCTTTTGAACACTCTGTCCAACTTCATTTTCTTGGGGATAATATCTGTACAAAAATACAGAGGACGGCTACTTTAATATTCACCTTCAAGCCATTTCCTTTCCACATGACAACTGATTCTGAGACACAAAAAAAATTTAGTGATTTTTAGTAAATTTATTGAGTTCACAACCACTGCCACAAACTAATGTTAGAACACTTCATCACCCAAAAAGAAACCTCTGCCTGTTCCAAGCCTCAACCAAGCTCCAGAGTTTTAAAAGGTCAAGAAGAGATATATATATATAATTATTGAGAAGCTGAAAAAAACTTCATAAGTTATGTCATAATAATCTGATTCCTCAAGAACAGTGTTTTTTTACACATTTTTAAAAGAAGTTGTTTTGATTTAGCTCAAATGTTTGATATAAATTATGTTAAGATGATTTCTTCTATTTCATTAATTGGCTTAAAAACAAAGTGTAAGAAAGCATGCAGGATACACACCTGAGCAAATTACCAGAAACTTCCTCCAAGGCTAATAATTACTATTAATCTGAATCCTATGGGTATGATTATTTCTAGCCACTAACCCACAGCTGATTATCCATACTATTCAGTATTTTTCTATATTCTCCACATATTCAGATGATTTAAGGCTATCAAATCTATTACTATAAAAATTTTAAAATGAGATGAGACTGAGTCTCATAAAACTTGTATTTAGTTAATCCATGATGGTTCCAACTTCTTCATAGAACATAAGGACCAAAAAATCCACTCTGATTTAGCTATGACACACTTATCTGTCTCTTCCAAAAAAGGGCATGAATGTAACATGAAAAGTATAATTACTATACAATGAATAAAGGTACACCTTTTGAGAAACACCTATATGTAAACAACACCCCTTTTCAGACCTTATTGAGATTTCTTAACAAAAAAAATATAGCTTATAGAACACTACTTTGTTTTATTCTCTTTCAACCTGTGCCTATGCCATCTCACTTTAGTTTTTTGTACTGCTTTAAATTTTTAATATATTTCCCAACTTATTTCAATACCTGCTCTCACTGGGCAAACCCATGGCTGAGTTACCACCAATAATTAGGAGAGATAACTTACAGTGGTATAAAATCAATACAAGATCACCTAGTTTTTAAAAATACCTTTATTTATTTTTATGTGGTGCTGAGGACAGAACCCAGTACCTCATACGTGCAAGGCAAGTGCTCTATTACTGAGCTACAACCCGGCCCCATCAACTAATTTTTAAGTTGTAAAAAAATATTTGAAGTAACCACATTCAAGGTACATAAATATCTAAGGAACTACTGAATGTTAAAGTTGATGATTATCCATGGGAGCAGAAAAAGAGGCAAATAAGGGGCAGGGAACAGCTTTGTAGCTCCTCATTCCACTAAAATCTTGGAAGACAGGCTGGCCAGGAGCTACGTTTGCTCAAAGCCAGTCTTGAGGGAGATAAAGGAGACCTTTCTGTCTCAATTCTACATTTTGCAGGGCAGAGTTGGTGGGCTCAGGGGCATGGAAATATTTTATAAGAGAAGGCAGAGTGAGGCAAAAGGCAGGAATACACATATACACACACACACACACACACACACACACACACACACAGAGATTTAACTAACCAGCAAATATGTCAGCTCAGCTTTCTTGATGTCTGTTCTCATCAGAAAGAAGTAGGGGATGCAGAAAAAGTTATCAGGAAGTTGTTTTTAATTTCAAAGGGGTCTGTTTCAGGGTCACCCAAGCACTGTTTGGGGGCAGATGAACTTCCTAGCCTCCATAAATATGGTCAAAGGACTGATGTTCCAGTTCCTCTTGCAAGGTATAGAGAACCCACCCTCTGATGTAGAGGACTGTGGTAGGCTATCTCAACCTAATGCTGTTGAACTACTTCATTAATCTTTTTTTCCTTTTATTTCAAAGGAAATTGCAAACAATAAAACTTCTGATAATTTGGTTTCTCACTTCTGTCTTGGTGTTGTAAAAAATGTCAACATAAATATTCTAGTTTGTATTGGTAATTACATTTGCTCATTAAGTTAACAAACTGGCAGTCTGACTATATGTCAGTTTTGTGAACTTCACTAATGTAAATTCATCAGATTTAGTGTTAGATATGCTTGTTTTCCCAGCCTCCAAGACTGTGGACCACATATTTATTGAACTCAGGGGCACTCTACCACTGAGCCACATCCCCAGCCCTATTTTGTATTTTATTTAGAGGCAGGATCTAACAAGTTGCTTAGCACCTCGCCCTTGCTGAAGCTGGCTTTCAACTTGTGATCCTTCTGCCTTAGCCTCCTGAGTCTCTAGGATTATAGGGGTGCACCACCACACCTGGCTGTTATGATGCTTTTTAGGGGAACATCTTCCTTGAAGACAAACCACCTACAAATGATTAAATTTATTTTCTTTTAGGGAGTTTCTAATAGTTTGACTGTTATTAAACCCAGAATCAAACCAACATCTCTTCTTAGATTTCAGCACATGTACCCAAATGCCTTCTAAACTTTTCTCCTTAGAAGTTTGGTGAATAGAAACTCAACGTTTATCTACTGTTAATCCCCTTCCTACTTACTTTTGTTCCTGTATTCTTAATCTTGGTGAATAAAATCACAATCCATCAATTTAGTCACCACGGCCAAACCTATGAACTATTGGTGAGGCTTCCTTTTCCCTTGTTCCTCACATTCAAACATTAATGTTTTACAAATAATCTCTATTTAGCATTTTCATAATCTATTCTCAATCCTGATCTGGTGCTACTACTTAAGTGTGGGTCCTCATTATCTGCTGAATCTACTGATGCAACTGCATAACCGATCTTTCTCTGCACTTCATATTCTCCCAAATAATCCCCTAAATGGCTACCACAGTTATTTTTCACAAATATAATCTAATTATTTTTACTTTCATGCTTAAAATCTTCTAAAGGTTTTCTACTGTCTAAAGCTGACTTTCCAACAGTACTTTTGGTAATAGTGGAAATGTGCTGCAGTGCTTAATATGGTAGTGCTATGGTGTGAAGGTCAGCTCCAAAATTTGTGTTGAAACAATCCTCATTATGGTTGGGGAAGTGATTAAATCATTAAATCTCCGCCCTCTTGAATGAAATTGTGCCTTATTAAAGGAGTAGAGGGAACCAGCTTAGCTCCTGCCCTGTCCCCTTTTTCCTTTCTTGCCATGCACAGACACAGCATTTGTTCCCTTTTTGGCCTCCTGTCCTTTCTGCCTTGTGAGGACACAACATTCAAGGTACCATCTTGGAGGCAGAGACCAAGACGCTCTTTCTTTTTTTTTAATATTTATTTTTTTTTAGTTGTAGTTGGACAAAATACCTTAATTTTATTTATTTATTTATTTATTTTTATGTGGTGCTGAGGATCAATCCCAGGGCCTCACACATGTAAGGCAAGCACTCTACTGCTGAGCCATAACCCCAGCCCCCCAAGACTCTGAACTAGAGTCTAAATCGACCAGTGCCTTGACTTTGAACTTCCTAGCCTCCATAAATATGAGAAAATAAATTTCTATTCTTTATAAATTACCTACTCTCAAGTATTTTGACAGGTAGCCATTAGTACATGTGGCCAGCAATCACTTAGAATCTGGCTTGTACAACCAAGGAACTGAGTTTATAGTTTTAATTAATTTATGCTTAAATTTAAGTAGCTCACATGGTTAGTGGCAACTACGCTAGGTATGCAGAGATCTAAAAAATAAAGTTCAAATGCTATCATATAGCATACAAAGTCCTTAGAATTCAGTTCCTATGTATCTGGGGATATACAGAATGAAATTGTGTGCAGTTGTTTCAAAGTAGAATTTCTTCTTTTACGTTTACCTCCTTTTGTCCTTTCTACTTGCTGTTCATTTTTTTTCCACAGTAAGGGAAAATAAAATCTCTAAGTCCTCTGTTACCCCTTCCTTTGCAACCCACTAGCTTTTGCATACACTGTCAAAGAAATCACACATTTGATCTTTTACATGTCTGCTTTATGCACTATAATTTATCCAACATTTATCTCAATATTTGTGATGTTAGCACCTAGCACAAAAATCAATGTTCAATGCTTACTGACATTAATAATGAATCTTACAAATAAAACTTAAACACATATATCATTGAATACTGATCCTTTCTAGGTATAGGTCTTTAAAAAATATTATACATGTAAGTTAATTGTAGAAACTATCTTAGCTCTTTATTTTGCAGCTTTTAAAAATCATACTACTCTAAACATCAATTTTCCTCTTAGATAACACAGGTACTATTAGACAGTAATGACATGTTGCCATTCTTAAAAAATACTTACTTTGTTGAGTCCTCAAAGTCAAACTTTCCCATATTGTTGAACATGCACATAATCTCACTACAATTCATATTCAACCTAAAATAAAACATTAGCATAAAAATAAATGATCTCTTCCAAGTTTATTACGTTTCCTAAACAGAAGTCCATTGCTGACATTAAAATAACTAATTTCAAAGAAAACACTCAAGTCAAGTGTTATGGTTTAGATGTGAGGTGTTCCTCAAAAGCCCATGTGTGAGACAAAGTAAGAAAGTTTAGAGGAGAAATGATTGGGTTAAGAAAGCCTTAACCCAATCAGTGAATCAATCCCCTGATGGGATTAATTGAGTGGTAGATTAAGGATGTTGCTAGAGGAGGTAGGCATTGTGGGACATACTTTTAGGGTCTATATTTTGTAGCTGGCTAGTGGAGTCTCTCTCTCTCTCTGCTTTCTGATCATCATGTGAGCTCTTTCCCTCTGCCATACTCTTCCACCATGATGTCCTGCCTCACCCCAAACCCTGAGGAATGGAGCTTATGCTTACGGACTGAGACCTCAGAAATTGTGAGCCCTAAAATAAACTTTTCTCCCCTTAAAATTGTTCTAGTTAGATCTTTTAGTCACAGCAACAAAAAAGCTGACTAAAACACCAAAGTGTAGTGGCACATGCCTATAATCTCAGCTACTCAGAAGGCTGAGGCAGGAGGATCACAAGTTTGAAGCCAGCCTGCAATTTATGGAAGCACTATCTCAAGATAAAATATAAATGGGCTAGGGATGTAGCTCAGTGGTAGAGTGCTTACCTAGAATACCTCAGGGGGTTCAATCCCCAGTACCACAAAAAAGGAAAAAAATAACATTTAAATAATATTTTAATATTTAAAGTTATAATTATTTTAATTTGGTTGCTAACTTGGGAATCATTTCAAATATAATTTCAAATTATAATTGCTTGCTATTTTGGTAAATTCAGTCTCTAATGCATTTTTACACTTATTATAGTCTCCTGAACCATGACTTATTCACCTGGGAGGGTTCCTTGGTTTTAAAGAACTAACTTGTGACAATTCACTCTCAGATGTTAACTTCAAAGTCCGGATAATCTACAATCAAAAAAGAAGTGTTGTTATTCATGTGTGAACTTTCTTTTGTCACAAATACTGCTTAAAGAGTAAGATTTTATAAGGAAAACTTAGTTATTTCATAAATGTATTCAAGGCTTGATTTTGGGTACTTGAAGGAAAGAATGCAAGAAAATGTTTTTCACTTCTACCCTAAAGAAATTTAAAGTTTTCTGAAAGTATTTATTAAAGGATAACAATACCAGGTGCTGGCTAATAAATGGGATACAGCTATACAATTTCTGCTCAGACTTGTTTTGTATTTGTGTTGTTATTTTCAAACATTCTCTCTCTCTTCTTTCCTTCATCTTCCTAACTAAACTAAGAGGAAAGACCAAATTTTATCACTTTTTTCACCACCTAGTGCCTCATGTGTAACACACAGGAAATTACTATTGTTGTTTTCAGAATTATAGCTGGAGGAAGGCCAGGCCAAATTAGATGGTGGCAAACTCTTCAACTTTCTTTTAAAGTTAGAGACGTTGGAGGCAGGTAAACCAATGGCTTCTATTCTATACCTCAATTGAGTCAAAATATTTGATTATATATGGGAAATGAGACCTGATGACTCAAAGATTGATAGAGCAGGATCTATACCCTTAGAGAATGATGCAGAAATCAGCAAAGAGGATATATGGTGAATCTTTTTCTGTCAAAATATCTTAAAAGAAGATGTTTCTATTTTTGCCCAATTCTGCCCCCTAAGCACAAGATTAGATGACAGAAGATAGCTGATGCAACTTGTCTCCTGACTTACACATTCTGGGAGAATTAAGGGAAAAAAATTAATATGATTTTAAGATAAATTTTAAGATAAGACTACAATCTGGGCTGGGGGTGTAGCTTAGTGGTAGAGCGCGCTTGCTTAACATGCATGAGGCATTGGGTTTGATCCTCAGCACCACATAAAAACAAATAGATAAAATAAAAGTATTGTGTCCATCTACAACTAAAAAAATTTAAGAGTACATCCATCCCTAAAATGTTTATGAAAAGAAAATAGTGTTTCATTTAGTTTACTTATCCTATTTATTCTTATTTTTTATTCAGGTGTCCTAGAAATCTCGCTATAGTTTTGACCTTAAGTGTCTCCCAAAGGTCCATGTGATAAAGGATTGATCCTCAGTGTAGCACTAGTAAGAAGTAGAACCTAAAGGGAGATTTTAGGTCATTGGGGGTGTGCAGTCAAAGGAAACAGCTTAACCACTTTCTCTCTTTTCCTTCCTGGCCATGCAATGAGTAAGGTCTTGATTTGCCATGTGTTCTCATGGTGATCTGCCACCATAGGTCCAAAAGCAATGATACCAACCAATCATGGACTTAAATCTTCAGAACTCTCAGCCAAAATACAACTTTTTTCTTTATAAGTTTGATTAACTCAGTAATTATCATAGTGACAGAAAGTTAACACAAACCTTGACTTGCATCTCAATGTTATGCTAACTTGCTCTCAGATCATTTGCTATGAAGACCTTATTGTCCTATTTTCCTAAGTGATTAAAAAATAATAATAAAATGCTAAAAAATAAAAAGTTAATTGTTTATCTTAAGAGTTCAAATACCTAAGAATTCTAAATCCATGACAATATAGATGGTCCTTGACTTTGGACAGTTTGGCTTGTGAATTTTCAACTTTAGTGTGAAAGACAATATACATTCAATAAAAACCATACTTTGATTTTTAAAATTTGGATCTTTTCCCTAGGCTAACAATATGTGATCAGATTCTCTCTCACAACGTGGGGCAGTGACAGAAAGTCCCGCAGTGATGAGAATAAACAATCAACATTCTATAGTATACTGTGTTGCTTAGCTGCACTGTTCAGTTAGGTTAATTTAAAAACATTTTTGACTTATGATATTTTCAATTTAGGATGAGTTTATTAGGATGTAACCCCATTGTAAATAATCCCATCATAAATTGAGGAGCATCTATATAGGCTAGGATAATCTGAAAAACAAATTTAAATCTTAAACACCATATTCCAAAGCATGTAAAGTAAGTTGCATAGAACTAATTCAGATTCTAAATTATTAAAATTACCTGATTCAGGTCACAGTATGTCCTCAGAGAAGGTGCTGATTTTAACTCTTTTGCTATCTTCATAGCTGCATCCAAATCATTTTTTTTCTCTTCAATGTAGCTTTTAGCCATTATTAAATTTGATAAATAATCATCTGTACTTCTTACAAGTTCTTCACACCAGTTCTTTTTCCTTCATTTAAGACACCAGAGTTATTTCACAATATTTCATAAAAATTAAAAGTGAATTTTATAAAGACTAAACAGCATTTGAAAGGGTAATTTCACTAGGTGATGGATTTAAATAAAATAACATGGTTAAATGAGGCATATAATAACTGAACAGTGTCTAAAAGGGTAATTTTATTGATAAAACAACATAATAGCATTCTAATGGGTAACCACAAGAAACTATCTACAGAATATGCACAAAAAAGGAGAAGGCAATTAAAATGCATCTCTACCAAAAAAAAAAAAAAAAAAAAATCAAGTAAACACAAGGCAGGCAGTGATGGAGGAAATTAAAGACAATAAAAAAGCTATAAATCAGAAAACAAGTAAAACAGCAAAAATTATTATTAGTTATTACTTTAAATGTAACTAGAATGACTTCCCAATCAAAAGTTATAGATTTTAAGTGTAAAAACCATGATACAATGGGCTGGGAATATGGCTCAAGCGGTAGCGCGCTCGCCTGGCATGCGTGCGGCCTGGGTTCGATCCTCAGCACTATATACAAACAAAGATGTTGTGTCCACCAAAAAACTAAAAAATAAATATTAAAAAATTCTCTCTTTTTTTTTTTTAAAAAAAAAAACCATGACACAAGTGTATACTGTTGCAAATAACTAGTTAGTTTTCTGGTACTGGGGATTGAACCTAGAGGCACTTGACCACTGAGCTACATATCCTTGGTCCTTTTTTAGACAGGGTCTCACAACTGCCCAGGCTGGCTTCAAATTTGCAATCCTCCTGCCTCAGCCTCCCAAATTGCTGGGATTACAGGTGTGTTCCCCCACACAGCTAGAAACTCATTTTAGATCTAAAGACACACATAGGTTGAAAGTGAAGACAGAAAAAGATATCTCATTCAGAGAGTAACCAAAAGAGCTGGGTTATGTATACTAACATCAGACAAAACATACTTTAATATTACAATTATAAAAATACACACCCCAAACATCAGAACCCTAAATATATAAAGATAGATTACAGAATTATACACTTATTCTTTTCTTTTCATAAACTGGCAGATTATAGACAAATAATAAAATAATATTGGAGACTTCAATACCCCAACTTCAATAATGCATAAAAAAATCCAAACAGAATCAGTAAAGAAATAGATCATTTCAGCAAAGATGTAAACCAATTTGACCTAACAGATATTCAGAACACTTCACCCAGCAATAGGAGAAACTCCTTCCTTCCTATCAAACTCTACCACTAAGCTACATCTCCAGTCCTGTTCATTATTTATTTATTTATTTTGTGTTGCTGGGGATTGAACCCAGGGCCTTGTGTATGTGAGGCATGCACTCTACCAATTGAGCTATATTCCCTAGCCCCCTGTTCATTTTTAATTTTGAGACAGAGCCTAAGTTGCAGAGGCTGGTCTCCTCTTGCTTGAACCTACTGAGTTGCTGGGATTATAAGGATGTGCCATTGCACCTGGATGAGAAACACATTTTCAAGTGTACATGTAACATTTTCCAAGATAGATTCTGTTAGGCTATATCACAAGTCTTACTATACTTAAAAGATTAAAATCATACAAAAAACCTTTTCTGATTATTACTAATGAAACTAGAAGCAATTAAACAGGAAGACCACCACAGATATGTAAATATTACAGAATATGCTTCTAAACCTCAATGGGTAAAAGAAGAAATTCCACGGGAAATTAGGAAATAATGCTGAAACAAATGAAGTAAAAACATAAAATATTCATAGTTTTGAGATGGACATTTATAGCTATAAATAATTATATTTTCAAAGTCTAAGGATATAGTTCAAAGTACATTGCCTTACCTAGCATGTGCATGGCCCTGGATTCAATCCCCAGAATCACAAAAAATAAAATAATTAAAAATTAAATTAAAAAGAGCTTTCAAATTGGTCCTGATGGCACATGCCTGTAATCCCAGCTACTGAAGAGGCTGAGGAACCACAAATTTGAGGGTTGGCAATTTAGTGAGATCCATTCTCAAAAAGAAAATAAAAAGGGTTGGGATGTACTCAGTGATAGAGTACCACTCTGTTCAACTCCCAGTACCTTGCAAAAAAAAAAAAAAAAAAAAACTTTGAAAAGCACAATCTAAACTTTATATTCCACAAAGAACTACAAAAAGAACAAACTAAACTCAAAGATGGTAGGAGGAGGGAAATAAAGATTACAGCAGAGATAAAATGGAGAACTGTCAGTCATGGTGGAACACACCTGCAATCCCAACTAATCATGAGGCCGACACAGGAGGATTACAAATTTGAGGGTAGTGTGGACAACTTAGTAAGGTCCTGTTTCAAAATAAATATATTTTTTAAAGGCTGGAGATGTAGCCAACTGGTAGAGTGCTTAAGTGTGAAGCCCTTGTTTTAATCCCTCGCCCCACACAAAACAAAAACCAAAAAAAAAAAAAAAAAGGAAAGAGAAAAATAAAAGCAAATAACAGAGAAAATGAACTAAAAATATGATTCTAAAAATTAAAAGTGACAAATCTAGCTATACTAAAAAAAGAGAAGTATCAAATTACTAAAATCAGAAAGAAAATGAGCACTTACTACCAATTTTACAGAAATAAAAAGGATTATGAGACTATTACTAATGAAGTTGACAAATTCCTAGAAACATAACCTATCAAGACTCACTCATAAAGAATTACAAAATATGAACAGACTAATAAAGAGAGAATCAGTAATCAAAAATTTCCCCAGAAATAAAAGCCTTGTGCCAGATGGCATCATTATTATATTAGCTTCATGCTATAATGAAATACCTGACAAAGGCTACTTATGAAATAAAGAGGGTTTATTTTGGTCAATAATTATGGAGGTTCAAGCCCAAGATTGGGAGGCTCTACTGTATTTGGGTCTTTGGTGAGGGCTGCACATCATAGTGGGAGTGAATAATCATATCTTGAATGGGACGGGCAGAGGATGGGTAGAAAATAGGTTTGGGGTTCTGTAATCCTCTGATTTTTTTGGTTTTGCTTTTTTTTTTTTTTTTTTTTGGCAGTACTGGGGATTCAACTCAAGGATACTCTACTGCTGAGTTACACCCTGAGCCCTTTTTGTTTTGAGACACAGTCTCACTAAATTGCTGAGGCTGGCCTTGACCTTGCTGTCTTCCTGCCTCAGCCTCCTGAGTAGCTGGGATCACAGGTGTGTGCCAGACTTCCACATCCCCTTTATCTTCAGTGACTTAAGAACTTCCTCATAGGTCCCACCTGTTAAAATTCCATAGGAGCCAGGCGAAGTGGCACATGCCTATAATCCCAGAGGCTCAGAAGGCTGAGGCAGGAGGATCGTGAGTTCAAAGCCAGCCTCAGCAATGGTGAGACATTGAGGATCTCACAAAACCAGAGGGAGACCAATAGATTAGAGGAAGGGGATCTAGAGGGAGAGAGGAAAGAACATATGCATATACTGAGAAATGAAATCTACAAAAAAAAAGAACTATAAATAATGAAAAAAGTTTATGGGAATTATGAGACACCATCAAGAGACCAAACTTACAAAAACAGGAATTAAAGTAGATGAAGAAAAAATAGGGCCAGAAAGCATACTTAAGGAAATATTAGATGACAATTTCCCTAATTTGAGGAAAAAAGCCAACATCCAGGTACAGGAAGCACAGAGATTGCTAACTGAATACAATCCAGAGAGGAGTTCACCAAGACACATAATAATTAAAGTATCAACAAAAAATTCTAAGAGCAGCAAGAGAAAAGACATACATTACTTATAAAGGATTCTCAACACAAATAACAACAGATTTCTCAGCAGAAATCCTGTAGGCCGGGAGAATGGATGATACATTCAAAGTACTTGAGGAAAAAAAGCCAACCAAGAATACTGACAAAGCTATCCTTTAGAAATAGAAGAGAGATAAAGGCATTCCCAGACAAACAAAAGCTGAGGAAATTCATTAACATCAGACCTGTCTTGTGAGTAATGCTTAATTAATGAAGTACTTAAAACTGAAAAGAGCATTAACATGTAACACAAAGCTTATGAAAATATAAAATTCATAGGTAATAGTAAACATTTACATAAAATCTTTTAAAAACTCTGTAATACCACAATCCCAAGGAAGAAACCACTTATACCCCACATAGGAAGATTAAAAGATAAAAAATAAAAATGAAAATAATAATCACAGAATGTCAATGGATAGGCAATATAAAAAGATGTAAACTGAAAATATTAAAAGTTCAAAATGTGGGGAGAAAAGGAGTTATAATATACAGTTTTTCCTTTCTTTCTGTGATCAATGTCAAGTAGACATTTGTTCAAATAATGTGTTATAACTATGTTTCTAATAAGCCCCATTGTAACCTCCAAACTAAAACATGTAAGTAGTACACTAAAATTAAAAAGCAAAAAATCAAGTGATAAAAAAAAGGAAAAGAACAAAGGGTCTACAAAACAACTATAAATCAAGCAATAAGCAACAAAATGGCTACAGGAAGTCCTTACCTATCAATAATTACTTTGGTTGTGAATGGATTAAAATTCTCCAACTAAAGGGCACAAAGTGACAGAATAGATTTAAAAACAAAGATCCAACTATGCCACCTAAAAGAGATATTTGTTTCTTTAGTAAGGACATACACAGACCAAAAGGGAATGGAGAGAAAAGATAGTCCAAGGAAATGGAAACCAAAAAGGATCAAGAGTAGTTGTATTTCTTTCAGAGAAAATAGACTTTAAAGTCAAAAACTATAGAAACAGGCAAACAATGATAAAAGAGCCAATATAACAAGAAAATAAAAACAATTATAAAATATAAGCACCTAACACTGGAGCACCTAAATATGTAAAACAAACATTAACAAATCTTAAGGGACAGACTGCAGTACAAAGTAACAGTAGGGGGCTCAACACCCTGCTTACATCTGTGAATAGATCATCCAGAAAGAAAATTAACAAAGAAACATGGGATTTAAACTATATGTTTGGGGCTGGGGTTGT